ATATGTGTGTGTGTGTGTGTGTGTGTTTCGATTTCATCTTCGGTTCCATCGTTTGTTACAATAAAAGAACAAGTAACACGAGAGTGAGCATTTGTATAATTAATCGCACGTTTCCCGAATTACGAGTAAATCGGTTTAAAGGCAACGCGAATGGAACGGTTAGGATAGGAAGAAATTTCGCGTTTTCTTTGTACCCCTCGTGCGTGACGATGCAAAAGTGCAATATCGAACGACGACACCTATGAAAGCATTCGATAAATCACGGCACACATATTCCGATGGAGGAATACGTTTACATGCGCGAACACGCCTATGCCTGTCGATGTAATCTCTCTGTGACAATTCGTGCACGTGTAATCTGTACGATTGCACAGCCGATGCATACCGTGGCCCATTAGGTCCCTAATGAGATGCTATCCACGTCCCTAGATCTGTAAATCCGATAAATCCCGATGTAACCCGAGGTTACGGTTTTTCCGTGTTTTAGTTCAGTTAACCATTTGAAGCGGTTCGAGCTTCGCGAAAGGGAACAGGGCATTATCGAGTTGGTCGATTGCAGAAATTTGCAAACGCGAACACGTTGGTGAACACGACACGACGTCGATAGGTTATCAAGATCGAAGAGGAAGTATCGAAGAACGTTGATAATAATTAAAAATTTGTCGCAATGTCGCGAATAACTCGTTACGCGATCGTCGCACTGCTAGCCTTATCCGTTTCGGTGTTCCCGATGGACATACACGATGCTCATAAGTATATCCTTTTAATTGCCGACGTTCATAGCTATTACGGAACGACCTGCATCATAATCGTACGTTCGGACAGCTATACCGGTGAGTGTTGTTCACTCTTCTCGAAAATCGTACGTGTGAAAGTGGTAGACTTAACTGTATCGCTTGAATTAATTAGCTTTTAAATGCGCAATCAATATCGGACCGTTATGTTTCCCGCGCAGTATACTTTCTTCCTGAAAAAGAAGCAGGCGAACCTCGGGGAATTATCGTTTCAGATCCCAATCAAACGGCCCTGACTTATATATGGTCCCGGGCTTTCTCTCAACGAGGCATCTTCACCATGATCGTAAGCTTTTCCGAACTGTCACGAGAGGCAAGGAAATTCCAAGGTTACATCACGCGTCCATTGTACGTCGTTATTCTCGCTACAAAGGAGACCGTGGACGAGTTTTCGATGGCCACCGGACAGATCGATATCTCTTTCCCCGTGTGGCTGGTGATGTTTCTGCCGTATCGAGGCAATTTAACGAGAAACCTTTGCGAGAATCCTCTTGGCAATCCCTTTAATCTAATGTTCGACACGGAGATGCTGGTGCTCTGCTACGACCAGCCGATTTTGAGAGAATGGTACTCGTTGCGCGATAACAGAACCAGATTCTACGATCTGGCCAGCTGGGAGTCCGGTCAAGGATTGAACCTGAGGTCGAGAGATTGCTTGTACGTAAGGAGGAACAACATGTTTGGAGAAACGATGCGCGTGTCGTTTATTGAGGTGGGTGGTGCACGATCTCGCTACAGGGAAAGACTTTTCCACGGGAATTATGATCGTGCGTTACAATTCTAGGATTCACCGTTCGTCGAGATGAAGAACGGCGTGCTATCGCATTTCTTCGGCGAAGTGATCATCGAGCTGAGCAAATCGATCAACTTCAGGATCGAATTGACGAGCTCCATATCGGCGTACGGTAGTTGGAACAAGGAGGAGAAGGTCTGGACAGGTCTGATAGGTGAAGTGGTGTCGAAGAGGGCAGACTTTGGTGTCGCAGAGTTCAGCATGACTAATCACAGACTGGACGTGGTCGACTTTACCTTGCCATTAATTATTTCGCCTAATAAGATATACTTTAAGAAACCCGATGGTTCATCTGTACAGTGGTCTGCATATTTTAAGGTTTCTTTCACGATGGAATATTTTGTTGCTTTTTACCTGTCACTATCGCGCGAAAATCAATGCTAATATCGCTTTCCTTTTTTCCTTCCTTTTTCTCTTTCACCTTTGCTCGTTTCTCCTCTCTCTCTTTCTCTCTCTCTCTCTCTTTCAAAGTGAATGGTTGCACGCATCAATTTTCGCGTAGAATCGACGTCACGTCATAATGGATTCTCGTTTGCAGACGTTCCGCACAGACATTTGGGTCGTGATAATATGTCTCATCGTGTCGACTCCGATTTTTCTTACCGTCATGAAGACGAAAGGACGTATCGTAATGAGAATCCTGTCGGACCATTATATAAGCGTTTGGGGGATTTACTGTCAGCAGGGTCTATCAGGTAATCAGGTAACGCAGGAACACGACGGGGAGATGTTTTCGTAAACACTGGTTCCCTGTTTCAGAATTTCCGAGCCAGTCGTCGATGAGATTAGCTTTCCTATCGATTTTCCTGTCCGCGTTGATCATTCTGTCGGCTTACTCCGCTTCGTTGATCAGTTTCCTCACGGTTTCCACGGTTACCTTACCTTTCACCACCATGGAAGAATTCGCCAACTACGGCTCGTACAAATTAATAGTGTTCAAAAACAGCGCAGACTACGACATGATAATCGTAAGAACAGAGCGCGCAATCACGCGAAACCACGTCGAACAACTAGTGCAACGTATATGTAATTTCAGTCAGCGAACACTAGCCTATTCTCGAAGGTGAAGAAACTCTTGAAGAGGAAGGAGGACCTGCCTTTAACGATTCACGATGGTTTTGCCCAGGTAACGTCCACGAAACTGGTAAACCCGTTCTAGTTTGAAAATTCCAATTCTAATCGTATTGGAGCCTGGAATATTTCAACTGCCAGTGAAATTGATGATTAATGGCCACAGGTGTGCACCGAGAAGGTAGGATTCTACTTAACCGAAGCAATAAAGGACGGTATCAGCGGCTTACCGTGCGAAACTGCGCATATCGAGGCGGACAAAATCGACAGTTTGGCACTAGTTTTGAATAAGGACAGCCCATACACGGGACTGGTGAATTATCAGTAAATACACGAGTTTGCTTTATGCGAATCTACTTACCACGAACTTTCTTTTAGAACGAGTTACGCTAATGGTCCTCGTGAATACCTTTAGTTTACAGCGATTCAAAGACAACGGAATGCTGGTCAGATTAAGGAACACGTTTCTCGTAACCAAAGACTCTCGCGACAAAGGGTACACTAGTGTTACTTTGCGTGGAATCGCGCCTATTTTAGCCGTCCTGGCCGGTGGAGTGCTTTTCAGCTGTTTCTTGCTGATGCTCGAGAAAGTGTACCATAACCTATGGAGCAGCGAGCGCAAAGAGACTTTCCGGTTCGACTTCTCGCGAAAATCATCCGACCGTGATAACAATCGCGAGAGGCGAGCTGGAAATTTCGTGAAAGATACGCTTCCGTTCAAGGAAAATTACCGATCGAAAATAATATTCAACGAAAGTTTGTACAATCAAAAATTCGGGAGTCGCATTTGAAAATGAAAGGACAACGTATCCTCGCACGTTTCTTGTTCATCGATTAGGCTAATCTCGTTAATTTGTCACGTATTCCCATCAGCCGTGAAATTACTTTCACCGTGCGTGACAGTAGCGTCGTTAGATCGCGTGTAATTAGTTGCAAATTTCCGCGTATCGTGTGCGTGGTGTGATTTAGCGAGAACCGATGCACGTTCCGAACAGTGCTACCGTTTAATCGGGTTAAACACCGTTGTAACTCGATTCCTATTGATTCGTCGAATAAAACGTGGTCGGCTATTGTATCGTCGGTGAGGCTGCTAGAAATTCGCCGGCAAAGGTGGCCCGTGTCTCATGATCCCCATTAACGACCGGCGATAGCGATTAAATCGGCTGAATTAGCGGTAACCGGATGGAACAGGGATCCAAAGAGCAGGGAGCAGGATCCTTTATTCAAAGGATCGGTATCGCGTTAAATCTGGCATGGTTAAAAAGCTGGGGCAACGACGTCGAGGAAGGCAGGTAACCCAGAGCTTGCTTGCGCAAGAGCGGTAATTAACCGCTGATCGCGTTAGCGGTAGGGACATGCAGATTCGTACGAAACGTTCGACCTAAGACCTTTGGAGAAATTCATCCACGTGACTATCTTCCCACGTGAATCGGCCAGTATCTACAGGTTATCTTTATTCTCACCCCGTGGAACAGGGATGTCTACGTTTCGACACGTGTACGGCAATCGTATGGGATTTGATCGATAGGAAAAACAAGAGCAACGTTTCTATATCTGCTCCTCTTTTCCCTATACTCGCACAATTTCGAAGTTCTTTTCGTAACGCGTAGAATATAGAACAACTGGTTGGGTCGTTGGACTCGTTGCTAAACGAAAATAGCGCGGACAACGGCCAACTTGGAGGTGTACCACTGTTGGCGGGTAAACAAAGGTGCATCGGCAGCGTTAAAGGCCAGGTAGCCTGGATGCTAGCGAGTTAGCTCGAGCGACGGAGCGGAGGCCGGATACGGACGAGCACGCGCTGCGTTTCCGCTTTTCGTACGGCCGGAAATGACCTTTGCCTCGTTAGAAAAAAGTTACACGCACGCGTCGCGATCCCCTGCTGTCAAGCTCAGGTACAACGGGAATTCCTCGGGCTCGATCGGATCTCGAATATCAGGGGTTGAACGTCAGCGGGTTGGGTTTCGCGTTTACCATCCCGACGACGACGGAGCGTCGCTGGCGCCTCTGGGAAACCGCAAGTTCGGTCACGGACCGTGCTCGGACGTTCTTTCCGCTCTTGGCAAGGATACTGGATCAGTCGCGAGACGTTAATTTCCAGCGATCTCCGCCGATCTTATTCTCGGTCCGGGTACGCTCTTTTCCTCCTTTTCTTCTCCCTTTTTTTCTCTTCTTTCCTTTCTCGTCGCCGACGGGAAGAACCGGATAGCCTTGGCATCAAGGCGCGAAATGCGCTCGGACAGGAATCGACCGCCTTCGAGATGACTAACGTCGATGACGACGACTCGCGTTAATCGAAAGCGACAGCGGACCCGAGCTGAATTTTAGACGTTCAGATGCGCACGACGTTACAGAGGATATCATTGGCAGCGTGCCTGACTGCTCTGCTCGCCAGTTGATCGCAGACCGGACGGCCTCGAATTCGCCGATTTATATGCACCGCGGCTGCGGACGATCGATCGATCGATCGTAATCGACGTCCAACGGTATAATAGATTTTGAAAGAATCTATTTTGCTGTTTAGTCGCGGTGCACGTGGCAGCCATTGTTGGCAGGTTGTGTCATCTCTGGGCTTGTCCAGAATGCCATTATTATCGCGCCGCGTGCCATCCAGGCTGGCTATGCGGCTTCTACTCCACGTTAACAATGATAGCTAAAAAACAATTGCGAACCAGGAAACAATAATGCCCGCCGATAATGACTATTGTCAGAGAGGAAACAATGATGCCCGATGACGGGTCTGCTTCGCAGAAAGTTCCGCGGTGAAACGTAGTCGCATACAATGTGTCGGCGGCGCGAGCAAACGCGCGGTGTGCCGTAGTAACTGGAATGGAACCGCCATCACAGCGAGAAGAACCGAATTAAGATTTATCATTTCGTAATTCGACGGGTTAGATTTATTCTCGATAGATTTATTCGCCGCCGCGGGACCACGATGCGCGTATCTTTTTACGCGTGTAGGTGTACGAGCCGTGGATCTCGCAGAGAAATCGCGCAAACGGACGCAACCGTTAATAACGAACCCCGGGAACAACTTTATCGAGAGACTGGTAAGAGAGAAACACGTCGGATCGATCCGTTTGTCTCGTAAATCCGGTATTGCGACTACCGAGGAGTTCATTACCATGCTCGAAACCGTGGGTGGCTATTAGCGTGTACATTGGCACATTGCCGCCTGGAAACGCATGTACGCCGTTCATATTCAACGAAATACGCCGCTACGATTACGACTACTTAACTACGTGGATATAAATTGCGAAGAATTAACATCGACGCATACGCGGATCGACGACCGCGTGGGATTCCTCGGCGCTGCGAGCGTCTTTGAATCGAGATCAGCATTGTATCCTCTTGCAAATGCAGCTTCTTACCATTTACGCTTAATTGCATCTGTATACCTACTCGTAATGAGCCGGGACGATTACGAGCGTCGATGAAAGATGAAAGATGCGTAGATGCAGCAAAGATTCTGCCACACGACGAGGCCTGGCGCATTCCAGAGAGAAGGAGCAATAGAAATTTGACAGTTGCCGAGCATCTGGCCTCTCCTTTCCTCTCCAATGCCAACCCGTGTCTGCCCACGTATACCGGGTGTCGCGTGGGTGTACGCTCGTGCTGTACGCGTGCACGTAGTGGGGATCCTCCGGTACTCGACTGGCTCGCATGGAAAGGAAAGGAAAAGAGTGGTGTACCTACAGCTGTGCCGTAAACGCGATTATGTTTGGTCGCTGGCAAACCCATTCAGTGCTCCTTACGGCACGAAGGAACTTGGTACTGTCGCTGCAAGCGTTTCGTCGCCGCTCCACGCGTCCGCGGTGACTCTGGCTATCGTCGCATCCGGTCGCGGAGAAGAGGAAGTCGCGCGTAGACGCGGCACCAGTTGGCTCAGCTTCGGTCCACGATCCACGTGCAGCACGCTTCCAGTTCGAGGTGTTTGTTTTCCACGCGGGGAAACAGAACCGCGTGTAGACGCTGTTTCCGTACCGCGCGGATGGTTCCGTGCCAGTTGCCGCGACGCGATAGTGTGAAAATTATTCCCGATAAGCGTTACGCTTCGCGTGTTCGGCCCCTGTGGAAATCGAAGTCTGCTATTCGTCAGAAAGGAAAAGAAAAAGGGGAAGAAGAGGAGGAAGCAGAAAAACGGGAGATCTAGAGTGCGCGTACGGTGCAGCCGTTCTCTTCGTGGGAGCCAATCCATTCGGGTGAGTTCGATCCGGCGATCGATGCGCTCGTTTTCGTCTTTGAGATCGTGTACCGGGGACAGTGTGTACGCGTGCGCGCGCGCGCGCGCGAAGCAGAGAAAGATACAGATAATCGACGGTAAATTGCCTTGTCCTCGCCTAACACCGGGACACGTTTGCGATATCCGTTTATTAGAGTATCCATAGCGTACGACTTGTACGGCTTGTAATTCGCGTCGTAAACCGCGGCTCTCGCGTTAACACAGGGGTGGACGATGCCTGTACACCGTGGTAAGGGAGCCTTGAAACTTTATCAACGGCAACGCGTAAAAATAGAATATTTCCTGGCATGCTTGCCGGTTCCCATCCACTTACGTACATGGGATCGGTCTAGTTTACCGCGGATGGCTGTCACTAGTCGAAGGAAGCGGATCCGCTAAGTTCTCAACATAAATATGTATACCGCGCGATCTCTGCTCCACGATAAACCGGGGAAAGCACGAAGGGTTATTGAAGACAAGCACGCAATTACGTTCTATCCGGGCTGCGGAGCCGGTTACTCGATACACGGCCAATTAATCTGTAATTGACAATAAAAAAAGAAAAGAAGAAGCTAGAAATCGATGGAAAGCGTTGCGTAATTCCAGCCAACCACCGGCGAAGGATGGGTATAATGTAACGGCCGTTTCCGGTCCGGTTCGTACGAAGATGTTGCTCTCGCGGGGCTAAAAGTCTCGGGCAAAAGGCCGATGAAACGCGACGACAAAGGGAAACGAAACGAGAGAAACGAGAGAAACGAGTGAAAAGAACGGATGCGTGCGCCGGAGTGAAATAAAGCGCGGCATTCTTTTAATGGAAAATGCATGAACCTTTTTATTGCAGAGCTAACGAGAGACTGGTTACGAGAGCACAGAGCGGTTTCCGTTATTAGAATTCTACGACGAGGCAGGACGGCAGAAAGACTCGGTGCAACCGAATCGGGATATCGAAGAGGAGCGAGGATCGCGAGGCTGTTGCAACGTGGTGATCCTCTGCCGAAAATCCTCCGCGTGAATCGTACGCGTGGCGCCATCCTCGCGTCGTGAAACGCTGTCAAAGACGGAAATGGTACGTAAATTTCGATGCTTTTCTCTCGTCGTGTGCGAGCCACGATCGTCGCGGTAATCGGGACGGAAGGAGATAAAGTTCGGTCTGTCGATCGCTTGTTCCGCTTATCGATCAACGCTTCCCGTGGGCCTAGCGAGGCCTAGCCGACTCTGGTCTTCCTCCTCGTGGCGAAGGAAAAGCCACGCGAGATTTGTCTCGGATGCACTTCGTCTACCGTGACTAATTGACGAATAGACAGGCAAAGGCGGCCGTAATAAGTTAGCGTGAACCAAGTTGCAGATGCAACGTGTAGCCCGTTTGCATACGAATCGAAACACAGAAGGGCCGTTGTTGCGTGACGCGTTTCGTGAAATTGTTCGTTCTACAACCGGAACAAGCTTTTCGCGCGCGGTAACGAAACGGTGAATCTGTGGAAACGACGATTTCTCTTATCTTGTGGGAAGCATGGCGAGTTAACGAACGCGGAGCAGAGTCGCAGCTTCTTCCTATGGATCGCGAACCGCAAAAACCTGCACGCCGTAATGCATGCTGCCGCGAACGTACGCGAAGAAAGCAAAGAAACGATATCGTTTACGATCGAGCTGACGGGAAACTCGAAGTCACGAGGCTGAGGCTGGTGTAGCAACGTCGACGTCGTTTGCCCGCGACGAAGATCGCAAAAACGTAGAAATGCAACGCGAGGTCCGCGAGGTTCGCCAGCAGAGGTAGCGGAAACGAGGTAGCGTTATCTCGAAGGATCGATTGGCGATGGTTGTTCGATCGACGGGTAAGACAAAACGCAGAGCGTTATATAACGGATCGCGAGCGAACGGAGATATTCGCGGCATAACAATTGGCGATCATAACCGTGGCGTTCCGGACAAAGCGGTAGACGATCGATCCTAATAGAACGTAGGAACGTAACGAACGTTCCGTGTGATCGATCTCGGCGTCCTTTTACGGCCGTACGATCGTCGGCTGTCACCCCCGACAACCCATCTCGCGTAATTAGAATGCAGCGAGTTAAGAGCGATTAAAATACAGGTAGATACGCGTTGAAACGGCCGCGGACTGTCGTATTAGCGAGCTACACCTACATGTCGGTGTCGTACGTGTCGCAAGATGGCCGGGTCACTGCCTACATGGTGACACCCACCGACTTCTCAGAGAGGAGCCTTCGTGGCGAATAACCGACTCTCTTGATTGTAATTTACGTCGATTAACAGTTACGCGAGGCTAATCGCGTAGGTAACGTTACGGGACCCATATCGACGGATATGATGCTCGATTCGTCGATTTCCATTCGAATTAGCCGGCCGATCGTTCGATCCGGTTAATGGAGACGTCGAGGATCGAGGAAATTGCGGGATTTCACCACGATAAACTACCGCTACGATCGATCCGCTCGATTTTTCGCTGCCACCTCCTGCTCGCTCGCCTCGATCCAAGGAACGGAAATGAACCCGAAGATTCACGTGGCTCGATGGTTCCCCCTTCCCTCCGTTGAAACGGAAGACGGTGATCTACGGACTCCGTGGCAGCTGCTTTAAATATGCGTTTAAGTAATAAAGTACGCGTTTCCTCGGACACCGGAGCAAGCATCCGCTGATACAACGAATCTCTCTGTGTTTTTCAGCATGGTGACACGCACGCGAGGGTGACTTTCCAATGATCGGAAAAAGTGGAACGCGGTAGCCGAGCGCAGCAGCGGAACCAGCAACAACGATGGTATACAGAGGCAGTTTACAGACCGACGATCCCAGGGATGCACCGAAGCTGGTTAGAATGTCACCGTTGAGAACCAGCAGGCCTACAAATCCTGTGACCAATTCACGAGCTGCTTCCTCCGTCAATAGCCCGGTATATCACGGTCCGTTTGTGCCGGCAATCGACGTTCATCGAGGCAAATTGATCGATGAAAGACGTTTGGCTCGTGAAAGGGACATCCAGTCCATGGAGAAGGTGATTATGAGGACAACCGGCCTCAAGGTCGGCGCGCCAAGGCTGCGTAACATCAGTCAGATACGAGACACCGTGTTCGTCGACCCGGCCCTGATACCGATGGAGAAGATCGGTCGAGTGGAGAAAGATCGACCGAGGACCATCGCCATCGACGGTTCCAGCAGACCGACCAGGACGCCGAGCTCTATGCTGGCCGATCTCAAGGACCTGGAGAGACTGAGGAACACTCCGCCAGTTCAGAGGTGTCCCAGAGTCGCGAGTAGGAACGACGCGAAATCCTCGACGCCTAGCAGGAAGACGGAGCTGTCGAGCCCGGCGAAGATTCGCTCGGATATCTTCAAGATCCAACAGATGTTTCAAACGCCCGATGGCTCGCCGAGGGCGATGGTGAAGTGCTCGAACGAGAAGAAGCTCGAGAAGAGGAGCGAGACGGAGAAGCACGAGAAGAAAGCCGCGCCGGAAATTAATAAAACGAGATTACTCGCGCAGAAACTGTTGGAGGCCTCTCGGAGCAATCGGGAGTCGCTGAAGGATCGCTACAACAATCCGAGGAACGCGTCGAACCTGAAAGCGAGCAAGGAAATTAACGGCAGGGTGTCCGGCAAAGCGAGCCAAAAGAACAGCGTGGATCCCAAGCAATCCGAGAGAGGGAAAAATCACTCAGCCCCAGCGGAGACACAGCCTCAACCCCCGGTTCGGAGAAGAAGAGAGTCGAAGAACAGACGCAGCGGTGACGGGAATGGAACGATTCCCGACAACGGCGCGAGGAGCGACGTGCAGGAAAACTCGAGGAAAGCCAAGACAACGGGGAAAGCGATCGAAGCGTCTTCGAACGACGACGATCGTTCGAACAACGCCGGTGCAACGGAGGAGTCGAAGATGAAGACGAAGGAGCTCGACAGACCGGACATCTTGGAGGGACTGTTGAAGGAGTCTGATCAGCAACTGGCGGATCTGAAGTCTGATCTGCAGGAGAGAAGAAGGTCGCGAAGTCACTGGAGAGGGTTCGTGCAATCGATGAGGTTACACGACGTGGAACTTCACTCGGACAGCGAGGATCAGCGAAAGGGTGAGTGACTCAACGTTGGTTCGTGCTGTATAGATTAGAGGTATCTTCAGATATCGGGACAGAGGAGATTTATCGCCGTGGCCTGATAAACGAAGACACTCCCACGGAACGCTGCGTGTTCCGTGTCAAAAGGTACCTTGCTGGGAAGCCAGGAAGTTTCGAAAATCGGCGCTAATCTCTGTCAAAATCACGGTACAGTCTCGTAGAGTTTCGTCGTTCCATTAGCCTCGGTTGCGTCGAAATTGCCGCTGATTGTCCCTAAAGGAGCAATCGCGCTCGTGCGTAATACCGATCAACGCACACGAACACGACGCGAGCGTTAAGTGAGATTTATTGAAATATCTGCTGGCCATTTCGATGACCCCCGGGTGGGTCGTAGGTCCTTGGGCCGCTTACGGGGCGCGTTTTATAAGCCGGCAGATTGGATTAGCAACGTTTGCCGAGGTGTTTAAAATTACAACCGGCGTGGCCATTAATCCCTTAGCTCGGGGCACCCCTATTTTTAGACGCAGGCTCCCTTTCTCGCTCTTGCCGCTAGTGCAGGTCAGGGTAGCGTGTCCCTAACAACATATGTCGCAACATATGGATTCGGCTAGGAGGAACAGGCACGCTGGCCTCTTCGCTTTTGTAACGCGGCACGAATCGTGAACGAGTCGATCGTTGGTGCTTTCTAGCGTTGATCCACTTTATCCGGCGGTCGTTTCCAGCGCGTGATTCGTCGCGAAACAAGCCGCGCGTACGAGATTTCGAGTTTGCCGGTCGCGGGGACCGATCGTTGGCGTGTACCGCTTCTGGTATGCCGTAAACACGATCGTTTCGCCCGCGAACCGAGTCGATTTTCTCGATTCTCACGCCACGAATCCGCCGTGTATCTAATTTCTCTCCGACGTCGATCGTACTCGCACCATTTACTCGGATCCAGACGCGATGAAAGTTCTTGGGCGGCAACCGACCGGTGCGGTGCCCCGTACGTTCTTTTCTCCCTTTCGGTGCACGGCAATCCTTATCTGCCGGTTATCTTCTTTACACGTGAATTTGTTCTATCTCTTGCTAGCTGCGGGGAAAGGTCGCTCCAGCGGCGACGTTCCTCCACGGAAACGCTTTATCGCGTTACAATTTCGGGCGCACTCGTAAAACCCGAAGGATGGGAGGAAAACTGAGCTGGTCCGAGCGTGAGACTCGGCTTAACGGAAAAGAAACGATCGGAAGCCTAAGCCTCTGCTGTTCCCTTTAGCGCTGCGCGAGATATATTCACCGTGTACCAGATTCGATAAATTACGAAACTGTCGTCGCGTCGAAGATATACGAGCAACGTATACATCGTTTTCGCGTGTAGCGTTAAATACTTTTTTGCAACATTTTAATGCCATGCATCATCCGCCTCGGACTCGATTGCATATCGTATCAAATCGGCGGGGAAAGAAGGAAAAGGGGGAACGGATTTCTTGCACGCATTCCCGAGATGGATATTTCATAAATAACGAACGTAACGCGCGCATAGGTATACGCGTATCGAGGCAGGCTGTGCGTTTATTAAAAGTCCAATGACACGCGATGCATTCGATCGGCTGGCACGTATTTACTCGCGAACTTTGTTGCGCATCGGAATTTACCTTGCCTCGCTTAGCCATAGATTTATAAAAAAAAAAAAAAAAAAGAAAAAAAAAAACGCGTTACGCAAAAGCTCGCGTCTATCGTGGAACGTAGTCTCGCGTGTGTTTCGCGTTGCGTCACGATCGCGGAGGTTTACGAAACGTTCGTCCTAAGAACCGTCCACCTTCTTCGCTCCGTGGATCGTCGAAATTTGGTCGACGAGCCACGGCGAAAAGCTCGCCGATCACGCGCGTTGACCACCGATCATCGTGAACGGATTACAAATCTGCGATGCGACGCTCGCCGACCGGAAGACCGTGGATATCTCGAGAGAACAATAGGCCGCGAGCTCGATAAGGATTCCTCGGACGAGCGAACGATCGATCGATCGACGCGCATCGACGATGCATCGTGGCCGTGCACTCGAAATGCTCGAGCATTCCGATAAATGCTGCACGAGACGAACGCACGCACGTAGGGGCAGGGTGACGGCCCTTGCCCTTGAGTCTACGCCCTAATATTGATCTGCCGTCCTTCCTGCCCCTCCATGGTGGCCCATGGTGTGCGTACAATGAAACGCAGGCTTCTTCCCCTAGCCCCTCCATCAGCCCGCAGACCCATCCTCTGCTCCCGTAAGTCCGGCGTATGGGCCGATGTTACTCTTCAGTGCAAATCTAGCTGTCAAACCGCCAGCATTTTTCGACGCGCCGATCGAACCGGTGCAACCCGCGCGTTCCATCCGCCACGTCTTTATCCCCCGTTTCCTTTCCGTTCCGGCCACCGCCTTCCTCCTTCCTTCGCCACCGTGCATCCCGCGATTTCGAGTCGCGCCACCACTGCTTCTCCACCACCGATGCTCCTCTGACCGAGTGGTACTCCTTTATTTTGTCACGCGCCTCCACCCGTTTCGTTGGCCGGCGTGTCGCGTTCTCCGTCGGTGGATACCACACGCGCGTCCCTCCAACGAAGCCGGTTACACATTATCGAACTTGGTCGATACGCGCACGCCGTTCCTCGTCGTCTTCCTCTTCGTCCCGTTCCGGCCTGTCGTCGACGTGCCGACCAGCGTCCTCCGGGCGTGCCGAGTTCCTCAGTGCAGACGCGATCACGCGGTCGGATGCACACGCGAGCCTCTTCCCTCTGGAGATGGTGCTCTGCGACGTCTGCGACAACAAAGGTGAGAGATCTCTTCTTGGATAAGCATGGTAACGTCGCGTCACCCGGTCCAGCGATTCGCCCGAGTATAGCGAGTACGCGCTGCACCGACTCTGCCTTTCGCCATGCCGTTGCTTCGCTCAAATTTGACGAGCTTACGTAAGGTACCGTGGCCTCGCGATCGATCCGATAAGCGCGTGCATCATCGACCACGCGAACGTCTCGGTCGAGCTTCATTTTTTCCTTCGCATACCGTCCTGTCTTCGCGCTCGCTCGAAATCGCCTCGATGACGTACCGATATTCCTATCGATGTCGCAACGTTCGCGCTCGTCCTCCAACGCGGACGAATATTAATCATCGCCGGCATTCGGAGCACCGTCGCGAATCCCCGCGGAGCAACGTGGCTTGATAACGATCCGCAAGCTTTCCCGTGTTTTCGCCCGTACAACGTGTCTCGTCACGAATGGGTATTTATTACGCGATCGTTGCCCGACGAAAGACGGGCATCCCGCGTCGAAAGGTGAGAGAAATCCGCGTGGTAAATGCCTGACATTTTCACCCCGACAAGTCCGACCGCGTTTACCCGTTCCGCGAGACGCGTACGGCCCACCGCCACTTTTGTCTGCCAAATTTTTTCCCCTGCCCGTTTCTCCTGTTTAGAACGAATGCTAAAACGGTACGTCGATTGGAATAACCCAGGCTTAAAATGTCAAATCGCTCGCAAGGCGCGGCGCTCGTTCTATCCGCGTCTTATCTACCCAATTCCCCCTGTTTCCGCTCATTTTCCAGCTCCTTTTACGCCCTTTTTAATCCGACCTCTCCGATTTTACACCGTTCTCCTTTATTTTCCTCCGTTTCCGCTCCTTCCGTCCATTCGCGTTCGATTAACGCCGATTACCTTCGGAGATTATAATAGACTCGGAAGATTCCAGCGGAATGTTCTCGCGAATGTGCATCGTCTCGCTATTGTACACCATTGGGCGTGCCATAAATTCCGTTCCGAGAAGAGTCCGATTAAAACGGCAGACTAAGCGGCTCTGGAGATTACGAGGACCCGACTCGGTGTAAACAAGCCTCGTTATGCACTTAATTACGAGCACTCAAACTGTACGAGGGCGAACGCGGTCGCGCGCGCCATCACGCTCACGCGTGTGCGAGCTTTCGCCGGACGACCGCAAGGCATTATTCGGGGAAGTTTTCTCACGCTCAGCCTCCTGTGCCTGGCCATGACTTATTGCGGCTAGCGCCATACGCTCACGCGTGTGCGAGCTTTCGCCGGACGACCGCGCGGCATTATTCGGGGAAGTTTTCTCACGCTCAGCCTCCTGTGCCTGGCCATGACTTATTGCGGCTCGGGAAACACGGGATATTGCTCTTCAAACGCCTCCGAGGAACGTTTGCCAGACGTTCTGGCTTCCCGTTCGGGCAATCTGTTTCGAATTTAGGCGCCCCGCGTGACCCGGGAATCGGCGCGATTTCGCAGAAATCGCTGACTTTTGTTCGCGCATTCGGGAGATAGTGGCCCCCGGTTCACCGCTATTTATACTAGCGTCCGATAATGCCGGGTTAATCGATCGAACGTTCGCTTTGTGCCAGCACGTTCTGCTTTAACGAACCACCGATCGCTGAAAAATTCCCAATACCGAGAATCGTTCTCGACGCCTCCCCATTCCGATTTTCCTTGTCGCGGTTCTCCACCGAATCGTTCTCGCGAAAATTTAAAGTACGCGAGTCGAAAGTCGTACGAGAATCGCACGTACGTAAGGAAAGATGAGGATCCCGAGAGGATTTACTTGGATCGCCGATCGACGCGTTTGCGTGGAAACGGGAGGACAGCGGAAGGCAGAAAAAGCGCCATTGTTCGCGGAGCAATTAAATAGCGCGTTGCTCGCTACGAAGGCGACTGACATGGAATCGGACAGAGAAGCTCGACGACGTTTCAGCAGCGGGCGCCTGCTTATCGGCTCCCGTTCCATAGGAAAGAGACGTTATCGTGGAAACATGTATCGGTCGTGTTATCCCTACGACCGCGTCGTGGCGCATGTCCGACGCGCAGAAAATTGTCGCTGCGGTTCCGTTTGAATCGCGCGCTTCGCACGCCTATGAATCGCGTCGATTTTTTCCGTCCTATTTAGAACAGGCTTGATACTCTTCGCTATGCAACGCATACGCGAGATAACGGTCACGCCACGGTTGTTTTATCTATCGCAGTTGGGCCAGATGGATCGCTCGGCTGATGGAAAGGGAGGAA